ATTTTGCGGAACGGGCTTTTTCGCTTCTTTCGAGGGGCTGCGAGTGATGGTTTGGGCATCGCCGCGCCCCTTGCCGCTTGGGCCTTCCGCATAGTCGCGTCTACAGTAGAATTATCGTCATTTGCGTTGGGAATTTCAACGACTTTTGCCGTTTTACGAATTGCCTTTCGTCTACCTCTGCCACTCTGCTGTATTGCAAATAGCTGGGTTGTAGGAAGTCGTTCGTTCATTTTGCGGCACGGTCTTTTTCGCGGNTGGTTTGGGCATCGCCGCGCCCCTTGCCGCTTGGGCCTTCCGCATAGTCGCGTCTACAGTAGAATTATCGTCATTTGCGTTGGGAATTTCAACGACTTTTGCCGTTTTACGAATTGCCTTTCGTCTACCTCTGCCACTCTGCTGTATTGCAAATAGCTGGGTTGTGGGAAGTCGTTCGTTCATTTTGCGGCACGGTCTTTTTCGCGTCTTTCGAGGGGCTGCGGGTTTCACACATGTGTATTCGAGCTTCCACGTCGTCGCGCAATCTTCGATCGATTATCTCGCTTTTTTTCGGTTTGTTTTTATACGTTTTCTTCCAAAAAAAAGAAAAAACGGAGTTGCGCGCTTTTTTCCTGTTTGTTTTTACCCCACGTGGGTTGTCACGGTATCTTTATGTTTTCCACTTCGTGTGTCTCTCGGGTTTGTGCTTCAAGTTTCTGTCACATGCTGAATGCAACACACAATAAATGTTTCTGCCGCCTGCATTTCATCACATTGCGCAAGGCTCTCCATCCACATTTTCAGCCTGCATACGGCTTCGTCTGCTCTGCGAGTTCTATCGCTCGCCAGATCCTAAACCCTACGCCATATCCACCCATCCCTCTTACTCTCTTCCAACCCCACTTGGTATCAACACATCCCCTTCTAAACACGCATTTTTCGGCGTGCGGCCTACCCAAGGGGGCCTCTTTTTCATATCAAGAAAAGCGCGTAGGGGGGGCATGGCCCCCCGGAGCGCTTGTAATTATTATTATTTTGTTTGCCCTCCGACAATTGCAGATAAGTGCAGACATACACAAAAAGTCGATCGCGAAGGCCGTCATGCCAAGCCAAATCAACTCGATGCCCAATAGCTGGGAATGTTTGCCTCTAAGTGAACAAAAGTTTGGTTGAAACACTACAGCTGAACTCTAGGCACGAACCTTAGATTCTAGATGGAGAAAAACGGAAAAATAATTGACAACACAAGAGATGTTTGTCCGTGCGCCACGGTTCGATGCCGTCCGCCTGCTCCGGTGCCGCTGCTCCGGTACCGCTGTGGCCAGTCCTAGCACAACCAAACTTGACCCGCTCCGCTTCGTACACACTCTCGTTGCTGTCCATCCCAGTCGGTTCCTCGCGTTCTCCCTCGTTGCACTTTGAGTTCTTGGTCTAAAAATTCTCGCGCCGAAGGGTCAACCAGCCCAAGGGTCAACCAGCCCAATCAGCTCGTCACCACCTGTCCCCTCCTCCTTTGATGGCAAAACCAGGTTACTGAGAAAGTACAGCTTCCTCTAGCAAACCTAGGGCCGTGTACATAGTGCCCGTCCACCTTTCTGATGACGTTTGCCTCCGCGCACAAGGATGACATGGGCATTGCTGCCTACACCGACGGCCTGGAGGCCCGCGCATCTGCACCTTTGTACCTGACGCACCAGTGCCGACCCAACTCCACCACGACGCACGCCTCGCGGCGGGTGCGCCGCAGCAAGAAGGTATCGGTCCCTTGAGGGTGAGTCTAGCCCTGCTCGCTAGAAAGACCCCCGCCCTCGCTATGGGTCATGCCTACGCAAAACCTTGCCGAGGCAGCAAGGGGAAGAATACATACCTATCGCGTTGTGATGTTCACGAAATTTCATGATCCTCACAGTCCAATACCTCCGGGTGTTTACCGAAGACTTATTTGTGCGAAGTGCGCAAATGGACTATTCTTGACTATAGACTACTGTATTTCCCAGCCGAAATCCCGCGGACGACAGCGTAGCCCGATCTTACTCCTCAGTAGCCCACCTGGTTGTCACGCTTCTTTTGACGAACCTGACGGTAGGTGTGGGTGTCTGTTGTGCTGTACCTTTGATGATATTGGAAAGCTTTTCGTAATTAAGCTGTACCGCAGTGTCTCTACATGTAGTATGGGTTGCATATTTGCTGTTCATGTTCCGGAAATTCGTGTTCCGGGGACATCTGCAGCTCGTTCGGTCATCAAGCCCCATTCTTGACCGCAGACGTCGAACCGCTCGTGTACCGAAGCTACATGTAGGCTGTGGTCGTGCTGGTCGATTTCCTCGCCCTCTGTATTAAGTAATTCTGCCTTCGTTTTCTCCTGTGACGCCGTTGTTCTTGTTAGAATATTTGAACTCTACATCATATTTCCTGTCCGCCATACGTTACTGTCTATGGGTTCTAAAAGTTATTGGTACTGTTCTTGAGCGCATGAACGCTTGTATTTCTCGAGTTCCAAACCTTGCTTTGGTCACAGCCGGGGTGCATGTTTGCCGGACGCCATGCGCATATCTATATATAAATTCAACATACATACGTCCAAATACAAACAGGCTGGACCTTACTTCGAGGCCACGATGACCGTGTGCGTGTCTACTTATTTACCCTGCCAACAACAGGTTTGGGGCGCACCTCTGCTACTCCAGGCAAATGGTCTTGCTGAGTTTGTCTCCCCGAATGCTTTTTCATGTTCAACAAAAACTTCGTACACCCCGATGCAATACTGGTAACACTCTCGACAAGAAAACAACGAACCACGAAAAACGGAAAACAGAAAAGTGTGCTCGGGACGAGAGCGTTCAACCGCACCACTTGAGATCCGCCCTCCCTCATCGTTCTTACATACCTCTACCACATTATTAGGGAAAAACAAGGAAACTGGACTCTGCACATACACCAAACAGAGACATTACTGGTGCCGAGCTACCTGACGGCGCGAATAGCACCACTGTTTCAGCCCAGCTCTCTCTCGCACACCAACACAAGTCAGTACAGACACACGTGAAGCCGCACGACGCATCGTGCGAGGGCGAAGGAGCGACTACACACGTCAACAATCGTATATCTCCTCTTCGTCCGTCCAGCACAGAGCCTCTTGGGTGGTACGCAAAATGTCGTTGGTGCACCAATCGAGCATGTCGTCCGCGAACGCGGAGACCGCCGCCCTCTCCCACTTGGTAAGCCTGGCAATCTTCTCCCTCTGCACGATGTCCACGTCCACCGTGTTAGATTCCTTTGGGGGGGAAAGTGACGGTGGAAGAGGGTAGAGGGGTCAACATGCAGCGGGAGGACATACCAAGGTTTTTCGAGCTGCGGCCGGCCGTTGTGATGCCGCAAGGATACATAAGGCACCTGCTGCGCACAATCGATGCCTTGATGAGTGTGCCGCCCTGCTGGAGTACATCTCCCGTTCCACAAACAGCGAGAAAGGTGGATGACACGCCAACCAAAGATAAATTTCGGAACGCGGCGCCCCTCATGGAGGTTGTGTCCAATCCTGCGTAATGGTCGGGAGCACCTCACGCACGAAGCAACAAATCACCTCAACCGGAAATGATCCACCCACCAACTCACCTTGTGCAGTATCACGCAAAAGAGCAGCGAGGCTGCCTGCGGGAGCGAGCCAGACTCGCGCGACAGTTCATCTGCGATAACGCTCAATGATCCCACCCACGGCCCCACTCCACGCGTGTCCTCCTTGACAGCACCATCACCGCCGCCACGGCCGCCGCCGCTGCCGCCGCCGCTGCCGCCTTCTCCCCCACCATCCCCGCCGTCACCACCTCTGACATTGTGATCACCCGCCTCCTCCACGCCACTCTCACGCGCAGGTAGCATCGGGAGAGCTAGCAACGCGCACCGCGTTCGACTTGAGGATCTCGGGATGGCGCCTTCGCCACCAATAGCGCCTTCTTCCGCTTCCACTGCTGCAAAAGCCGCATTGAATGCACAACCAGAAGGAGCCGCTGCTGGTGCCAACACTCCATCCCAGTCTTCGAACACGATAGTGCGGAAGGTAGGCGAAACCGCCAGATGTTGGAACCACCCGCCCCAGTCCACGCCGTGCCGTGGGTCGATGATTCCGCGGAGGGTAGGCAGAGCGACGCCGAGCGGGGTTACCACCGAAACCTCAAGGAGATCTCGCAGGTTCAGCTCGCTCACGGGAGGCAAGATGCTACCTTCATCGAGTCCTACGTTCTCGTAGCCGCTCAGGCTGAAGCCGGTCCCGATGCTAGTGAAGGACAGCGCCGGCGAGGGTGCGCGCAGGAACGGGGTCTCATGGTGCCTGCTACTGGCACCTGCTGCGACCTGGGGAGGGGGCGAGAGCCAGGCGAGCGGCGGGTGCCATGAGTCCGGCAGAGGCGGTACCGCTTGAGGCGCCGGGCTCGAAGTGCGTTCCTCACGCCTTGAGGGGAGCACCATCGCATTCTTGTACAGAGGCCACCACGGGTTATCTTGGTTGAAGAGCTCCCATGCGGTGTCCTTCCTTCTTTTAGCTATCGCCAGGCGCAGCAGCCGTTCCACCAGCTGGCTTGCTTGCTGGGCGATATCCTCCGGGAAAGGGCCGTCGTTCCACCAGTCGCGCCCGCTGACACTGGTCGCGGCGGTGCCCTCGCCCTCCCACGAGCGGCAGGACATGGGTCGGGCACCCTCAACTACGAAAAGTACAACGTCGAGGCTTCCGTCGACTGCCGCTGCGGTCCTGTCATCGCCGTTGCCGCTGGACTTTGCACGCCTTGTCGCCCTCTTGTCGTGGTCATCCAGCGTCGTCAACACGAACGTGCACACAGGAAACGTCTCAGGCTTCGTCCTTTTGGCACCCGCCGTCGTCTCACGCATCCCACCTTCCTCTCCCCTCTCGGCGGAGTTGTCAACCATGGCGCGGCCGTCCTCTCCGTGGGTCCCGGTACAAGTTGACGAGGACCCCATCGCCAGTTCCCTAGCCATTATAGTGCCGGACAGGATCGGCCTTGTCGCAGACTGCAGCGTCGGTTGCGAGGTGAGCCCGTACAGTTCTGCGTTGCGATACAGGTGCCACATGAACCTATTCGTCTCCGCGTCGACCTCTGTTTCCGTATCATCCTCGACCTCTCCGCCACCATGGCCGCAGCCGGTACCGCCGATACCGCCGGCACTGCCGTCGATAGTCATGCCAGAGCTCTCCCCACCTACTAGCGGCGTCGGTGAGATCGGACTCCGAGAATCCGACGGGTGGAGGTGTGCGCGTTCGTGGCCATGACCCTGGTCGTATTCTTGGGGATGCTGTTGATGCTGCTCTTGAGGGCGTGACCCACCAAGGTATGGCGACTCCCGATGCTGCCTGCGTGGAATGGGCGCGCGAATGGGAGTGGTCTTTGACCCCGCGGAGGTTGGCGTCACCGCATCTTTCCCCCGTGCCGGTGTGGTTGCGTCTTCCCCACCCCGCAACGCCAAGGCTGGCGCCACCACGACCGGTCCGGGCGAGACCGGGGCGGAGCGCGCCGCAGAGGGTCGCCGCGGGGAAGGAGACGCTTCAGAGAGCAGCGGGCCCCGTTCGGCATCCAACTCGATCGATATTACCTCCCGCGTGACAGCGGGCGGATCGTCGTTGTCGCAGGGCCTGCTACCTTCGAAGTACGCGGCGTCGTTTTCGGCGGCCATGCGGGAAAGGATGCCGTGCGCGTTGATGGCAAAAAGGATTCGGAGCTGCTCCTTCGGAGGCGCGTCCGCTGCTGTCTCCAAGTCCGTTGCAGCTGACGACATCAACGCAGCTTCCACCTGCCCAATGCAAGATATCCGAGCGGGGGTTCGTAACGAAAGTTGGGGAAGGCATGACACATGGCAGGATATCTGTTGCACCGTGATTGTGCCGGAGCAGCCAACGGAGGGCACGGTTCAGTAAAATAGGTAAAATGTAGGCAACCCTACACAAACGCCTCTTCGGAGCGTTCCGAACGGGTACTGCACCAACAGGGCCCTGCCCAAGAAGAGATGGAATATTGCCGAGAGCCGTAGTGATCACTAGGAAACACAAAAATATCAAACCAAATCGAGGTGACAACCACACAAAACCCACAACCGGAAAGGAGTTAAATTATTTACTTGACGCAAGACAGCGTTCGCCCAAGATAAGCTCACGCGCAGCAAATGGGGATCCACTCTGCTCTCACGTGACGTACCTGGCCGACCAAGAAGTCTTCCACAGCGTTGCGGAGGCGCAGTTTACGGATAACGCGGTACATTTCATGGGGGAGCTCGTCGGGCAACTCCGTCCCGTGAAATGTTGGGTTGTTGGGGTCCAGATTCCACTTAAAGCTCGAGAGCGTGGGAAGGTTGGCCCACCAAGACTTCGGTGCACCCTGACCCTCGACGCTACCGCCAATGGGGCCATCGCCCTCCCAACCGCCGGATGGCTCCATGACGTCCAGAGTCCAAAACTTGACAGAGGCCTGCATGGGCTGCCGCGACCGGAGGGCCGCGGCAGCTGTGCTCGTACGAGGAGCAACCATAACACTCACCTCCACTAGGGCGACGGTGTTGGTAAGTTCAAGGGGTAGCCGCAGAAGCGCGTGGGCCAAGAGCACACCGCCGCTACCAAGCGTAGCCGGGCTGCAAAGTTGGTCGCTTACCGGGGCCCCGCAGTCACCCTTTGGGGCCTTCCCCGAGCCTTTCGCATCGACGGTGGGCCCCGAGGCAGAAGTCACTGGGTGCCCAGTGAACATGGGACGCGTCCCGCATTTCACATCCGTGTCTGTGTTGGAATTCACCGCGGAGACGATGGTGGCTTCCTCCGTCACCGGCATAAAACCGAGGGACTCGATGAGATACGAGGAGTACGCGAGGACAAACTGGCGGGCGAGTGTTGCGCCCCACTCGGCTTCCACATCGTCCCGCCCACTGCTGTCGACGGCCACGTGCTCTCCCGTTCCCGACATCGACGCTATTGCTGGTTCGGGTGTGGCAGCAGCTTCCAGCACAGGCCTATCTACGGCGGAGGACTTCCTTCGAAAGGAGGAGGGCGCGGGTCCACCAGTGTCTCCGCCTATGGAACCTCCGTCACACCCGAACCCAATGCCGGCAAGAGATACGCTCCGAGTTCGACGTTGCTCTGCCGCTCCTGCGGCGTCAGTTTCCCCGTCCTGAGCAACGGTCCCGCCACTACCGATCCCCCTCAACAAGCTGCCCCGATGTATACCAGGCTGAGTCCCCAGCGTCGGTGTCGCCGCGACGGCCCACCTCTCGTCCGACCCGACGTTACTGTCAGTGCTCTCGCGTCCAATGCCCGAGCTGGTAGCGCTCCGGCTGCGCTGGAGGTCTACTTCCTCCTCTTCCGAAGACTGCCTCAGCTGCCTGTCTCCCGAAAGCTCGCGGACGCTGGCTTCTCCGGCAACGCTGCCGGTGTGTTGCGGATTTCCCAGCGAGTTGTAGCTGCTCGCCCCCCATTCCGTCTCGCTGACATTCCCGAGGAAAATGGATCCTGTCCCGGAGTTTCCCCTCGCGGAATCGGGCTGGCCTTCTCCACTGGTGTAGTCTCGTCCAACAGGGCCGACACCCTGCCTCAAACCCATTCGATCAAGAAAAGCTGCTTCTGCTTCTGCCTGACCCCCATCGTGATCACCTGTGGCCGAAGCCTTCACCGCAAAGCCGCTGAGGGTGGACGATGCCATGGGCAAGAGGAGCGGGCTTGTGGAAATCCGATGGAGGCGGCACTGGCTCCAGATATCGCGCGCCCAGTCCACGGACCGCGGCGCTTCTACCTCTCTGTCTGCTGGGACAAACACCTCCTTGCTCTCCACCTGTTGCACCTGGCGCACATCGGGGAGCTCGATATCCTCCGCAGTCGTCGCCGTAATGGAAGCCCCGGCTGCCTCCGTTTTGATGCTCTGACCGACGGACGCCGATCCCTTGGGCCGAAGATCCCTTGCCTCCGCCGCTGGTGTACTTCTTCGGACGGGGTCGTCCATTCCTCCGGGTGGCCGTATCGTGCCAGTCATGTGAGGCCCTCGGTCTTGGCCGCTAATAAGACGGTCGCGCCCCTTGTCGAGTTGCTGCTGCGGCGACTCGCCATCAGTTCGTGCTCCTGGTGTGCTGGAAGGTTGCCTCCTCGGCCACATCCACGCGGAGCTCCTTCTGAAAGCGGAGCTCCCAGAGCCCATGCCACGTCTCCTCGGGCTTACCTCACCTCCTCCTGGCCTTTGCACCGAACGCTGGGCCGAGAGGGAAATTGGCGCCGCCGGCGTTTGTCGAAAATGTGCAAGGTGCTCCAGTGACTCGGTTTTTGTCTTCATAGCCGCCGCCGCCGCCGCCGCCGCTGTCCTTGCCGCCTCCAGATCAGCGGTTACCCTTGCTGCCGCCTCCCTCGCTCGTCTTGATTTCCTCTCTTCATTCGCGCGATCTTCGGCGGCCTTGTTGCAACGCCGCTGTTTCTCGTAGCCCCAAGACCACGTCCGAGTCGCCTTCCAGCGACGGTGCAGGGTCGCCTTGTGCTTGTCGTCGATGTCCAAGAGGCATACCCGGTTGAGGAACGTGGCCTGGAGGGGGTTGGCGGGGGGTGTTTCCCCTGCCGCGGGAGTACTGCGGCCTCCTCCACCTCGAGCATAGCCCACGCGTGTCGTGCCACCGGAAGGGCGGGGGCTCACACTGGGTGAACAAGAGCGCAGAGTTGTTGTTGCCCCGATGGCCATGCTTCCGCCGCCATCGTGGCCGCCACCTCCATCGCCGCGTAGGCCAGCATTCAGTTGTGCGACCCCGCGACTGCAGGACGTCCCCGCGTTGGCAGCTTGAGTGTACTCTGTCCAGGCGTACTTCGACACATCTCTGACCCGCAACACGAAAGCACGGGCCTCTTCCTCCAGCTGGTCCGCGGTCTTCCCGGTCGGCGCCTGCAACACAGCCGCAAGCCGCCGGGGGGGGAGGGGGGGGGGGGTACTCATAGTCTTGAATGCCGTAGTCGTTAGACCATTGACCTCGCATCCCTACAAAGCCGGGACGGAGCACGCCGGGTTCTCACCGGACCAGGCTCTCACATCACCAAGCGCGAAGCGCCGTGAGATATTCGGCGAGTCGCATGAAGGGTGCGCTGCATCCTGCTAAGGGTTTTCGGCATCTTGTGCTTACTTCCTTGCGTACGGATGACAGCTGCGTATGACTTAATTTATTTTCTGGTGCTTTCACTTCCAGAGACAGTTGTAAGCACTGTGTAACTGCCTCGAGGGTGCTTGACCATTTTAACACAACGTGGTGCGATCATCCCCCTTGCGCGGAGTGAGGGTTCTCCACCCCGCACAACATGATCTACTCGACCACCATTATGGTTACCGCCAAAAAAAAAACAGACGCATCAAAAAAAACGGTAACCTGGTTGCCGAGTTCACGAAGTGGATTGGCTTGTTTTACAACGTCCTTGCCAAGCGACGAAAACCCACTCCCGATGGCAAACACCGGGAGGGGCGGCTTGTTTTACAACGTCCTTGCCAAGCGACGAAAACCCACTCCCGATGGCAAACACCGGGAGGGGCGGCTTGTTTTACAACGTCCTTGCCAAGCGACGAAAACCCACTCCCGATGGCAAACACCGGGAGGGGCGGCTTGTTTTACAACGTCCTTGCCAAGCGACGAAAACCCACTCCCGATGGCAAACACCGGGAGGGGCGGCTTGTTTTACAACGTCCTTGCCAAGCGACGAAAACCCACTCCCGATGGCAAACACCGGGAGGGGCGGCTTGTTTTACAACGTCCTTGCCAAGCGACGAAAACCCACTCCCGATGGCAAACACCGGGAGGGGCGGCTTGTTTTACAACGTCCTTGCCAAGCGACGAAAACCCACTCCCGATGGCAAACACCGGGAGGGGCGGCTTGTTTTACAACGTCCTTGCCAAGCGACGAAAACCCACTCCCGATGGCAAACACCGGGAGGGGCGGCTTGTTTTACAACGTCCTTGCCAAGCGACGAAAACCCACTCCCGATGGCAAACACCGGGAGGGGCGGCTTGTTTTACAACGTCCTTGCCAAGCGACGAAAACCCACTCCCGATGGCAAACACCGGGAGGGGCGGCTTGTTTTACAACGTCCTTGCCAAGCGACGAAAACCCACTCCCGATGGCAAACACCGGGAGGGGCGGCTTGTTTTACAACGTCCTTGCCAAGCGACGAAAACCCACTCCCGATGGCAAACACCGGGAGGGGCGGCTTGTTTTACAACGTCCTTGCCAAGCGACGAAAACCCACTCCCGATGGCAAACACCGGGAGGGGCGGCTTGTTTTACAACGTCCTTGCCAAGCGACGAAAACCCACTCCCGATGGCAAACACCGGGAGGGGCGGCTTGTTTTACAACGTCCTTGCCAAGCGACGAAAACCCACTCCCGATGGCAAACACCGGGAGGGGCGGCTTGTTTTACAACGTCCTTGCCAAGCGACGAAAACCCACTCCCGATGGCAAACACCGGGAGGGGCGGCTTGTTTTACAACGTCCTTGCCAAGCGACGAAAACCCACTCCCGATGGCAAACACCGGGAGGGGCGGCTTGTTTTACAACGTCCTTGCCAAGCGACGAAAACCCACTCCCGATGGCAAACACCGGGAGGGGCGGCTTGTTTTACAACGTCCTTGCCAAGCGACGAAAACCCACTCCCGATGGCAAACACCGGGAGGGGCGGCTTGTTTTACAACGTCCTTGCCAAGCGACGAAAACCCACTCCCGATGGCAAACACCGGGAGGGGCGGCTTGTTTTACAACGTCCTTGCCAAGCGACGAAAACCCACTCCCGATGGCAAACACCGGGAGGGGCGGCTTGTTTTACAACGTCCTTGCCAAGCGACGAAAACCCACTCCCGATGGCAAACACCGGGAGGGGCGGCTTGTTTTACAACGTCCTTGCCAAGCGACGAAAACCCACTCCCGATGGCAAACACCGGGAGGGGCGGCTTGTTTTACAACGTCCTTGCCAAGCGACGAAAACCCACTCCCGATGGCAAACACCGGGAGGGGCGGCTTGTTTTACAACGTCCTTGCCAAGCGACGAAAACCCACTCCCGATGGCAAACACCGGGAGGGGCGGCTTGTTTTACAACGTCCTTGCCAAGCGACGAAAACCCACTCCCGATGGCAAACACCGGGAGGGGCGGCTTGTTTTACAACGTCCTTGCCAAGCGACGAAAACCCACTCCCGATGGCAAACACCGGGAGGGGCGGCTTGTTTTACAACGTCCTTGCCAAGCGACGAAAACCCACTCCCGATGGCAAACACCGGGAGGGGCGGCTTGTTTTACAACGTCCTTGCCAAGCGACGAAAACCCACTCCCGATGGCAAACACCGGGAGGGGCGGCTTGTTTTACAACGTCCTTGCCAAGCGACGAAAACCCACTCCCGATGGCAAACACCGGGAGGGGCGGCTTGTTTTACAACGTCCTTGCCAAGCGACGAAAACCCACTCCCGATGGCAAACACCGGGAGGGGCGGCTTGTTTTACAACGTCCTTGCCAAGCGACGAAAACCCACTCCCGATGGCAAACACCGGGAGGGGCGGCTTGTTTTACAACGTCCTTGCCAAGCGACGAAAACCCACTCCCGATGGCAAACACCGGGAGGGGCGGCTTGTTTTACAACGTCCTTGCCAAGCGACGAAAACCCACTCCCGATGGCAAACACCGGGAGGGGCGGCTTGTTTTACAACGTCCTTGCCAAGCGACGAAAACCCACTCCCGATGGCAAACACCGGGAGGGGCGGCTTGTTTTACAACGTCCTTGCCAAGCGACGAAAACCCACTCCCGATGGCAAACACCGGGGGGGGGGGGGGTACTCATAGTCGTGCATGCCGTAGTCGTTAGACCATCGACCTCGCATCCCTACAAAGCCAGGACGGAGCACGCCGGGTTCTCACCGGACCAGGCTCTCACATCACCAAGCGCGAAGCACCGTGAGGTATTCGGCGAGTCGCATGAAAGGTGCGCTGCATCCTGCGAAGGGTGTTCGGCATCTTGTGCTTACTTCCTTGCATACGGATGACAGCTGCGTATGAATTACTTTATTTTCTGGTGCTTTCACTTCCAGAGACACTTGTAAGCACTGTGTAACTGCCTCGAGGGTGCTTGACCATTTTTTCACAACGTGGTGCGATCATTCCCCTTGCGCGGAGCGAGGGTTCTCCACCCCGCACAACATGATCGACCGGGGGACCATTATGGTTACAGCAAAAAAAAAAAAACCGGAGGAAAAAAAAAAAAAA